GGCCAGACTGTCGCGGGAGCCAGGAGGGGGCCGGCCCCCACCGGGGAGGAACTGGCAAAGCTGAATGAGCACAGCCGATATTGTGGGACCTTCAGCTTCCCAATCGGAATATGGAGCTCCATCGATGCATCGATGCTGGGCGCGGAAGCCTTTAGCCTCAGAATCATCTCCTGGGACCCCCCCTGCAAAACCTCCACTGCCGCGGGCTGGGCGAGCGGGTCGGGGGCCTCAAAATTGCCAGCGTCGGCCACGCGACGCCGGCAGACTTGGCCCCAATGATAAGCCAGAGCGCGGGCGGAGGCGCCGGGCGACTTGCGCGGGGGGGGGGGGGGGCGCGCCCATTCCGAATAGAGTGGAGCCAGAGCTTGCGATGCTTGGGGGCCCAGGCAGAGGCAGCGGTCAACTCGCTGAGCCTGGTCAGCCACTGCTCTTTCGCAGCTGGGCAAACGCGAGAGTCGTTGATCAGCTGCTGCTCCCGCTGCAACCGAACGTTGGCGTGTCTCGAGAGCTCGCTCGAAATCTCTCCAAACGAGTGCCACGGCGTGACCAGCCAGTCGCAGAAATCGCCGACACTGGAGACAGAGCGGCAATCACGACGAGCATCGTCCTGGTCCTGTTTCCTGCGGGCACAAACGAGCGCGAGCATCCAGGCACGCCTTTCGTCAATATAGCGAGGCCCGCAAAGCTCGGCCCGAAACTTGACCCCACGAGAGGCTTCGCACATGACGTCTGTCCATTCTTGAACCGCGGCGGGGGTCCAGGGAGAGGTCGACGTCGTCCCGGGGAGCCTCAGCTTGCGCGGAAAACGCCCAAGTTTTGGCAACCCACCCGGGAACAGCCAGCCTCTCCCGCCCCCGAGGGGAGTAGCAGTAGCTGAGGGATGAACAAAAAGGGCCCGACCCCGGGTTACAAGTGCGTGGTCTGTAAACCTCCTGGGAACCCCCAAAGCCTAGAGCCGCCAGGACGCGGCACATCACGCAGGGTTTGGCCTGTCGGCCCACAGGAGTTTCAGCGCACAGCGCCCCGTAAACCAGGGTAGGGGCGTTTTTTTTTTCTGCCCTTGAAGTAGAGAATCGCAGTTGCGCGGCGGCGCGGTCGCCTGGGGCATCGCCGCGAGCCGCACGCCAAACCACTCCCGGGATCGGCCGAGGGCCCAGCGGTGCCGAGGCGGCGGGTGCGCAGAGTCTGTCCAGGCGCCCCGCGGAAGCAGCCCGATCCTGGAAGGTCGTTCCTCGGGGCAAGCTCGGGCCGATAGAGTGCGGCCGAGTGAGGGCACGCCGCGTGAGGAGAGCTGGCCACGTGGCCCAGCGCCAGCTCGAAACGGCCATCACGGGCGCGTGGTCAGCCTTCTCCGTTCTCGAGGAAGTTGGCGTCCCCGCCAAGGATCCACGTCGCACGAGCGAGGCTCGGCCTAGAACGACGGAGAGGCCCAAAATGCTGCGTCTGCTGCGTTTGGGAGATGCCAGGGGCCGGGTGGATGTTGGAGACCGCGACGGAGACGCGGGAGGCCTTGCACTGAAGAAATCAGAACACGCTCGGGAGCCACCTCAACATCAAGAAAGTCAATGAATGACGGTGCTAGCACGTCATGAAAGCAAACGAAGACGCCCCCAGAAGCCTCAGAGCCACCGAAAGGAATAAAAGACCTTGAAGTTGGGGTACATACGCCAAATCTCTAACAAATCACCAGCACACCAATAAGAGTCTTGAATCAGTAGGATGTCGCTACGCATCAGGTACTTAATCTCCCCTGCGTCTCTGGTTGCGTCTCGGGAGATGCCCGCGCGCCTCCACATAACGCACGAGGGTTCCAGGAGCAGATGGAACACGGGCAGGAAGACGGGAAGAACGAAAAGTGGAACCACTGAGGCTGCACAGGCCCTTCGGGAGGCTGGTTAGACCCCCCATCGCCGAAACCAGTACCTCGCCACCGCTGCCGTTCGAGACGGCACCCAGCGCAGCACAGGACGGTTGAGCGTGATCCTGCTCGGAAGACTCTGGGTCAGCTCGATGTAAGCAGCGGGTCCGCGACGTCCCTGGCCGACGCATTCCGAGCCTGGAAGTGCTCAAAGTTGGGCTCGCATGCGCCGCCCTTCACCCATGCCCCGCGGATCTAGCATGAGCTCGTGGGCGTGGCCCTCGCTGCTGAGGTGGGCTCAGCCCTGGGAGCCGCTGCAGCCAAGCATGGAAAAAATAAAATCGTCGGGGCAGAGGGGGCGGTGCGCTGGGGTGCTGGGGAGCGACACATAGCGACACATGTCGACACAACGCCGAAATAGGGCGACGACGACGCCGAAATAAAGTGGTCGGGGCGGAGAGGGCGGTGCGCTGGGCTGCTGGGGAAGCGAGCGGACGGCGTGCCGCCCGCCCTGAGAGGAGGCTCAAAGTGCGCCCGACCAGATCGCGGAGGCCGCGCCCTGGCGCCCGGCGGAGGCCCGCGGGGAGGCCCGACCGCTCCCGGAGGCCGCGGTGCTGCTGCGTCCTACGGCGAAGAGAAGATCACATAAACAGAAACTCTTGGCGCTCCGCGCGGATGTCTTGGATCCGCGCCTGGGCCCCCCTCCCTGGCGCGCGGCGCGCGCCAGGGACGGCGCCAGAGGCGCCGCCGGGGGGGCCCAGGCGCGGATCCACGAAATCCGCGCGGAGGGCCACGAGTTGCTGCTTCTGTGTTTTTGTTCGTCTGCGAGCCCCGGGGTCCCGTCCACCCCGTCGAGCGGCCCGTGCCCGCGGGCTCCTCGGGCGGGTCGCCCGCGGGCTGCACGGCTGGTCGCCCGCGGGCTCTCGGGGCGGCTCTCGGCCCGCCCGTCCACGGGGGCTGGCCGCCCGCCCGCCAGGTCTGGGGCCGGTCGCGGCGTGCAGCCTGGGCAGTTGTCAGCTCCACAGAGCGCCCACACCTCGCGGTGCTGCGGCGTCCCGGGGTCCACCCAGTCGAGGCTCTGACCCGATGCCCTGATGCCGAAGCTGCTGGCCAGCTCTTCCTGAGGGGGCGAGATCGAGGGAGACTTGACAGCTGCAGAGATGGGCCGCGTCAACGCTGGCCAAGATCTCCTGGGCGAGCCTGTGCGCGACCACTGCGTCCCAGTGGTGCCTCCTCTGGGCAGGAGCCAGAGGTGAGCGTTTTTGGATTCGGCGCTTCGGCATTGGGCGGCAAGTGGGGGGGGAAGAGGAGGAGGAGGAGGAGGAGGAGGAGGAAGAGGAGGAGGAGGAGGAGGAGGAGGAGGAGGAGGAGGAGGCCTGGATGGGTGAGCGAGGGCAGGTGCCAATCCAGCGCGGGCAGCGGTCGGATGGAGGTCCTGCAGGGACATCCTGGGGCCGAGCGCCGTTGCGAGCGGGGGAGCGATGATCGGAGGCGTGGCGTCGACGAGGCGCGTTGGGCTGCGTCTGGGCGGCGCCGATCTGCGTGCTGACGGTGCCGTTGAGCACGACCTCGCTGGTGTTGCTGCGGGTCGGCGCCTCGGCTCCCGCTGCGATGAGCGCGTCGCTCGTGGTCCTGACGGTGGTGTCACGGGAGGCCGACTTGCCCGACCGGTATCTTGCTGGCTGCTCTGATCGAGGCCAGCGATGGAGTTGTTGCTCTCCCGAGCTGTGGGCATGAGCTCGGAGAGCAGCTTCGGAGTTGCGAGCGGAGTGCCAGAGGCTGCAGTCGTCGGGGTAGCCGTGCCGCTGCTCGAGACTGAGGATTTGCGAGTGCCGTGAGACTGCGATCTGGCCCTCACGGCTGTCATCGTGTTCTCGACGAAAGCGGGCACGATCGCCATGAAGTTTGAGGCGCCTTTCCCTGGGACTCGCCGAACTCGCGCCCATCGGCGCCTCGGTGAGGCTTCTTCTGGCTCGCGATCTTCCTGTCTCCACGTCCGCCCATGTTCTGAAGAGCAGGGGTAGGAGGAGGAGGGGGAGGAGGGGGAGGAGGGGGAGAGGATGATGCTGATGATGATGATGATGATGATGATGATGATGATGATGACGATGATGATGATGATAAAGATGATGATGCTGCTGCTGATGATGATGATGATGAGGATGATGATGTCCCCGTCTTTACAAAGCTCAGCACCTGCGCACCGCAGGAGCTGGAACTGACATGCTACCCGCGGCCGCGGGTGCCCC